GCGCCGAGCGAAGCCGAAGTGAGCCGAAGTTAGCCGAGTCCTAGCATCCTGGTCGCTATGCAACGCGAGTCAACAGCGATGACGTCACCAAGGGTACCGCGGGTTGCTAGGCAGCGCGGGTAACCAGGATTGCGAGAGACAACGGTAGTAACAGCGGTTACTACCGCTAGCGTTGCTAGCAACACAGCGCCAGGCAACAAGGGTGCTTATTACGTGGCCGTTTTCTGTATTGTCCGATCGAGGCCACATGAGGAGCAGCGAAGGCTATTCACAGTTAATCCTCGAGCTACCTCCGAGTTAGTTCCGAGTTAGCCAGCAACTAGTCAGTTGTATTCTGGCATTTGGAGTGTACTATTTGTGATACTGCAGATAGCAGTAATCGTAAATCTGTAATTTGGGTGATTGTAAGTGCGAATGTGAAATAAAATTCACTATATAAAATACAACAAGAAGTTATTTGTCGCGATATATGCCCGATACGTGACAATATATATATGTGTGTGTGTATTATTTTCAGTGTTATATGGTTGAGCCATAGATCCAGAGAATAATGTGAACAGCTTTCAATTTTCATTCACAGAATAGAAAAAGAATGTCAATACATAATTCAGTATACTGTCAATCAACAGTAGAGAAACACATTAATATAAGGCTAAATTCAAAAACAAAGCGTCCAAACAGAAGTTCTGAATATATTTTTGTAATGTCAGGGCTCCTGCAGCCAAGAAGGAATAAGAAAGAAGACAGCTAGAAATATAGTAATGGCAGACAAGTACAAATCTGGTCCAATGCCACCTCCACATCTTATGCAACAAGTTTAACAGTATACAAAGAACAATATTAAATCAAACATGCATGGTACATACTTTCACTGGAAAAAGGTATGTGGTGTCTGAAACCTATCAGACTCTGTGTAAATGCATGCATACAACAGCACCCTTGCACATCCTTAATGCATCACATGCAATCTAATAAACATCACTACATACTGACATTTCAACTAGAATTTCAACTTCCACCTCTATTATAGAACAGAACACATACTTACTGAATAGACTTATACAAGTCCTTAATCTTCATCTGAACAGGAGTGGAACGCAGTCGCAGTAACTCCACAGCTCTAGCCTGTAATTCAGTCTTCCTCCCTGATTTGTTACGACCAGCAAAGCCTAAAAGCATCTGAAGCTCTGACACTCTAAAGCTTAACACCATATTCTGCAAAGAGCAAGTGACCACATTTTAGACATCCATGCAACCACAAATGATTCCATTTTTATTTACAATACATGGAAGTCATAGACATGATATGTCTGTGATATATGAAAATTGTGTAAGCAGCAGACATGGTTAGAAGCTCTTCTGTATTTAAGACGCATACTAAGCCCCTTTATAAGTGCAATTAATACATAACATTCATCGCTGGTGACCAACAACGAACAAGTCTGCCATACCTAGACATAAAACTACACTAAGGCTCCACAACAGCACAGGAGGTACTGTGCAATACAGATTCAACAGACAATAATATTCGACTTGTGTTCTCATATCTGAAATGGCATAACACTTACTGACAATTTGAGCCCTACGCATTATGCTACAGTGAGATTCCAGTGTGTTACCATACCAAACAGATCCTGCTTTTAGACAAACATATTATTGCACAATAAATGATGTTGCTCCAAAGATAAATTGTTATCATGAATTATAAACTTAAAAACAATTCATATTCAGCCATCTAAAGCATCTGTGAGTAAATTTTAACACAAATTCTGCATACATCATTCCATTTTACTCGTTTATCACAAATTTAAAACATCCTGACTGTATCCTATTCATGCCACACACAATCTTCAATGAAAAAGAAAAATGGACTGTTCCTATGTGCTGATTACAACCACTGTTGATGGAACCAAAATTAAGCAATAACACCTACAATTACCTTACATACTGATTCCATAATTACTATTATCATTACTGTTACATGAAACAAAGTCCATAACAAAACAACAGTTGCTCTGGAAATGTATGTAGCGACAGCTGCTAAAAATGAGGGTGGATGATATTCTGTTCAAACTTATCCAATTAAGTGACTATATATATATATACAGTAAAACTTGGTTATAGCAACATCGGTCTCTGTGACACCTTGTCTATTGCGTCAAATATTCAATGGTACGAACTAATTCCTCATAAAGCAACTGTTTTTATACCTTGCTTAGTACGACATGCACAAATGCATCAACCTTGTATGTAACGTCATTTTCATTCCTGAATTTCTCTGATATGGACATTGAACGTAATTTAGAAAGTGTGTATTGGGAAAGTAACAGGAAACAGATGAAGATAACTGATTACTGTACTCGTATCTAGGTACAGTAAGGCACAACAATTGATGTAATCTACTGTAATTTGGTGAGTAGGCCTACCTTTAATATACAGTATTAGTGCGGTGTGTATTGTCAGTGAAAAGCGCTGTAATATGTCTTTGATATTACACATTTGGGCAATTCCACGTTAATGTTACGTTAGTCTGTACTTAACTACGTATTTCACTAAAAAATGCAACATTTTAACTCGGTTTTTGGTAGATTTTTACGTGACTAACATAAGGCTACTGTGGAAGTGCCCATTTTGGTTACAAGGACATTCGTTTATAACGACACTATTTTTAGGTCCCTTTGATGACGTTATAACCAAGTTCTACTGTATATATAACTACTGATAATTGGGGAGGCATCATAAGAAGCTTCACCCACCTATGACTTGACATCAGACCTTTTAGTCCAGAAATAAAAACATAACCACAAAGAATTCTGCATAGTGTCGGAGTCCATAATTTCTCATTTGAAGTTTTGATGATTGTTAAGTTATATACGCCCTTATCTGATAAACAAGAAACTGTGAAACTGACTAAACAGGAACAGACAAATATATCTGTCGTGAAACAAGATCTCGAGGTGTATTCTAGCAACGTCACTTCATTACTCTTCCACATAACTACAATTCAACGTAACTATAACACAAAATGCTGAACAAGTAATTTCACAATCGGTCCTTTCGTGTTAACAACTCTCACTAGAATGTCAAACTGTAGAACTCCTAAGCTCCCAAGTCCAAGTCACATTGCAACTGACAGTCGGTCGGTCAGTCAGTCAGTCAGTAAGTCTTCGTGCCGTGACCCATCTGGAGCTCATGACCAGATATTTATTACTAGGGCCCGGATTTCTATGACATGTCATATTTTTTTCCTAGGGTTTATTCCTATTTTTAAATGTAATTATGCATGTTTCCAGTCATTCTTATTGAAATTATGTCGTTTTTATTGTGCATATAAATGCATATTTTAGAGTTTTATTGGTTTTACAGCATATTTTGGCATAATTTTGAAATAAGGTCATATTTTTGTCATTTTAGAAACAATTCTTTGATATAATGTAAAATTTCGGCTCCATAATGTTTAGTATTACAAAATAAATTTCAGGCTGGACTGTTGCTTCAATGTGGAATAGAGTTCAAGTACATGAAGTTCGTATTAAAAACCATATTTTTGACTGGACTGTACTTGCAGTTACAAAGGCGAAAATTTGTGAAATGCAGCATTTATGACCTGGCAAGCCGGCCTTTCCCAGTCGAGGCAGGAGGGAGGCAAGTGTAACGGGTATTCTCCTATTGTACTCCGTCTTACTATAAGGTATATACATCCCATTCTTTCTTGGAGGGCTTAGAAGTATTCTATTTATATATGTGGAGGGCGTTATAAGACTTCAGTTTGACTTTACAATGCCTAAAGTGAGTACATGTAGTTCAAGGAGCGCAAAGTTGCGTAGTTTTGTACAGGAGTTTGGTGAAAAAGTGTTTAGTACCGATGGCAAGATATTTTATTGTAAGTTGTGTGGCGTGAAAGTTACGGCAGAAAAGCGATTTACTGTGCAGCAGCATTGTAAAACTTTTAAACATGGTAAATGTTTAAGCAGATTATCTACAAAGGATAGCAGACAAAGTTTGTTGTTTAAAAACAGTTCCACTAATTCTACTTCTTCTTCTTCTTCTTCTTCTTCTTCTCCTTCACCTTCTTCAACGAACAATGGGTCGGAATTTTCGAAGGATTTGTGTCAGTGGATGGTATCTTCGAATATTCCATTAGAGAAATTGCATAATCAGCACTTCAGACAATTTTTGGAGACATACACTAGTCATCCTATCCCAAGTGAATCGACGTTAAGAAAGAATTATCTCTCTACATGTTATGAAGATATGTTAAATAAGATTCGAACATCTGTTGCTGACAACAAGATATGGGTTTCCTTGGACGAGACTTCTGACGTAGATGGGCGGTATATTGCGAATGTTATAGTTGGGACCCTGAAACAAGATCAACCTGGAGAGAGATTTCTTCTTGACTGTGAAGTTCTCGAAAGAGCAAATCATTCGACTATAGCTGTCCTATTTGATAATTCCATGAAGTTGTTGTGGCCAAATGGAATACAGCGAAATAATGTCCTTCTCCTAGTAACAGATGCCGCTCCATACATGAAGAAGGCTGCCAAAGGACTTCGAATCCTCTACCCGAAAATGGTCCATATTACTTGCCTCGCTCATGCATTGCATAGAGTGGCTGAAGAAGTTCGAGGACATTTTCCTGATGTAGATAGGCTAGTTTCAAACGGAAAGAAAATATTCATCAAGGCCCCTCTTCGAGTGCAGAAATTTAAACAAGAAGCTCCTCTACTGCCACTTCCTCCACAGCCTGTCGTCACACGGTGGGGTACATGGTTGGATGCTGTGGCATATTATTGTGAAAATTACACAGCCATTGAGAAAATGTTTAATGGCTTTGACAGCAGTGAGTCAACATCAATTAAAGCTGTCAAGGACTTATTCTCTACCACTCTAGCACAAAATCTGGCATACATAAAGTCAAACTTCTGTTCAATTTCAGGTGCAATAACTCGCCTGGAATTTGTAGGGACTGAACTCTGTGACGCGTTGGACACTGTAAAGAGCATTGAGAATGAACTAAACCGAACTCGTGGTGAAATAAGTGACAGGATTAAAACCAAAATAGAAAGTGTTCTTCATCGGAATGCTGGTTATTCAACATTATGCAAGATTGCAGATATACTTTCTGGTAAACTAGGAACATTCGAAGATGATACAGAACTGTCACCAAACGACTTGACATTCTTCAAATATGCTCCTGTCACATCATGTGATGTGGAACGAAGTTTTTCCAAATACAAAACTATCCTTAGTGATAATCGGCGATCTTTCAAATTTGAAAATTTGAAAATGCATGTAGTTATAAATTGCAATTGTAACAGTGAAAATTGAGACGTGAATAACTCAGTGAAAATTGAGACGTGAATAGCTTGTGTTCTTTTAAATGGTGTTTTTAGATAACAGAGTTAAGTCAGTGTTCATACCATGTGCACCAGTGTTTGTCTAAAATATGAACGCAAATATCAGTATTAAAAAGAAAACAATGAATGGTTTAATCCAGTATGAAATGTCGAAATTCCATCAGTTTTCTTTCCTTCAGAGACATAATAGGGCTAATTTGGTAAGTAGGACCTACTATCATATATTCATCATCTTTATTCTTAAACTCTAGTAAAAGTTGTAATTAAAATTGTGAAATTTTATGTCCCATTTAATATTTAAGGTCATATTTTACACTTTTTAGGTCATATTTGACATAATTTTGGGTCATAAGTGCATGTATATATTTATAGTTTTTAGGTCATAAAAATCCGGGCCCTATTTATTACTGTTGGGCATTTACGGTCTTGTTTTTGTGGGACGCCCTCTCTAACAAGAGGACAGGTCTGCCTTTTGTATATGCTGCTGGCCCTTGCCAGTGCAGTCTTTCTTGGGTCTGAGTCCTTTGGGACTCACGACCATATTTTACTGTCTCAGATTTGAGACTTCCCTTTTTGTCGCCTCATGCGACTCACAGGGTCACAGTGGAGGTATTCAATCCTGCCTCCCAAGTCCAAGTCACATTACGACTGACAGTCCATCAGTCTGTCTGTCTGTCTTGGTGTCGAGCACCAGCTGGGGCTCATGACCAGATTTCTTTTTTCACTCAATGTATCTTCTTATATAACCTAGAGTCGGACCTATAGAAAACGCGTCACTGTCCGTATTTTTGCAGGCTTTGCCTAGCACCGGCTGTTTACTCAGCTGATGCTAGGCAGTGAATGGTTTCTAGTTTG